CAAAACAAAGGTAATGTTTGCAAAATCAGAAACAAGAAAGGCTTCCAATACCTCAATAGCAACCTTGGAAGTTAAAAGACCATAGGGACATTTCCACAAAAGTTAAACAGAGAACTACCATATGACCTGGCAATTTCACTCCCAAGAGAACATAATATGTACATTCAAAAAACAAAAAACAATTTTCTGGCAACACATACCCAACAGCCAAAAACAAAAAACCCAGAGGCCCATAAATTGATAAATGTATAAATGAAACATAGCTTAGAAAGGAATGAACAACTAATATACATTAAAATGTAAATGAGCCCTGAAAATACTATGGTGAGTAAAAAAAAAAAAAAAAAAAAAACAAAAACAGACACAAAGGCCACCCATCATTTAATCCCATTTGTATCAAAGTCTGGGTGAGTCTGGGTGTCCAGACAGACAGAAAGCAGATCAGCAGTTGCTAGGGGACAGAGTAAGAAAAAAAGAGGGAGGGAGTGCAAATGGGGCTACAGCTTTTTTTGAAAATGTCATAAAGTTAGAAGTGGTGATGATTGCACAACTTGGTGTATTATCCAAACCACTGAGTTGTGTGTTTCAGAAGTGTGTATTTATGTTTCTTTTTCTTTTCTTTATTTTCTTTTTTAAATTTTGAGACAGGATTTCACATACTCCAAACTGGCTTGAACTTGTTAAATAACTTGAGGATGACCTTGGCTTGATAGTCTTCTGCTGATCCACAGTCAAGTACTGGGCTGGAGTTCCAGGGAGTCCACTCAAAGAGAGGGAGGAGGGATTACATGAGCAAGAGTGGGGGTTCAAAATCATGACAGGGAAATCCACAGAGACAGTTGACCTGAGCTCATGGGACCTCATAGACTCTGTAATGGCAGCTGGGGAGCCTGTATGGGACTGAACTAGGCCCTCTGCATGTGGGTGACAGTTGGATGGCTTGGTCTGTTTGTGGGGCCCCTGGCAGGGACCAGGATCTGTCCCTGGTACATGATCTGGCATTTTGGAGCCCATTCCCTATGGTGGGATGCCTTGCTTAACCTTGATGTAGCAGGGAGGGGCTTGATCATGCCTCAACTTGATGTGCCAGGCTTTGTTGACTCCCCCATGGGAGGAGGCCTTACCCTTTCTGGGGAGTGGATGGGAGGGAGTTGGGGGGTTGGAAGGAAGGGAAGGAGGGGGTACTGTGGTTGGTATGTAAAATGAATGCAAAATTTTTAAAGAAAGATTCCTCTGCCTCAGGCTGGAGAGATGGCTCAGAGGTTAAGAGCACTAGCTGCTCTTCCAAAGGTCTTGAGTTCAATTCTCAGCAACCACTTGGTGACTCACAACCATCTGTAAAGAGATCTGGTGCCCTCCTCTGGCCTCATGCCAGTGTACACGCAGACAGAAATCTGTATATATAACAAACTAACAAATCTAGGGGGAAAAAAGATTCCTCTGCCTCTATTTCTTGTACTGCAGACTGTGTCACCACACCTGCTTTTCTGTGGTCTGGGGTTGAGCCCACAGCTTGGCATATGTTTGGCAAGCACTCTAACAGAATGACCTAAACTCAAGCTTTAAAACAAGACCATGGGTCTCTACATCTCAAGCTAGAGCGTTTCCTCCAATCTGGTGACCTTTAAGAGTGAGGGGACTAAGAACATAACCTCTGATGTCTCCACCTCCTAAATGTCTTCAAAATGATTTCCCCAGCATAGTCCAAATCAAGTATGAGGGTTAAATGCAAACATTTTCAGACATGAAATACTTGGAAATGTACCATTTATGCATTCTTTCTCAGAAAACTAGTCCTGGAGGAGGGCTCAGTGGAAGAGTGCTTGCTTAGCTAAGTGTGGATCCTCGGTCGTGTGGACCCAGCACTAGGGAAAAAGAAAGAGGACAGGAGAAAAATGCTATTATGAAATGTGCTGAGTGTGAGAGGCTTTGAACACTCAGTCCTAAATGGAACGTTTTCATCAAACTCTTCGCAAGACTCAAGGACCTATGAGGCAGAGGAGGTAGAAAGATTGTAAAAGCCAGAGGTGATGGATGACTCCAAGGAAACAGCATCTTCCAGACACAACAGGACGGATGCACATATGAGCTCAGAGGCCCTGGCAGCGCATACAACTACGTTCAAACTAGACAAAGTCCCAGCACTGAGATGGGGAAGTGGACACAAACTCCCACTCTTAACCAAGAAGCCATTTACCAATGATACCTGCCAGGAAAGACAAAATCAGTTTTCTCTAAAGGGGTGTCCCTGGTCTTTCAACCACACCCCAGGTCCCCCGATGGTGCCATCTCACGATGAGTGGGCTTCCTGAAAGTTTCAAGGCCACACAAATGTGAACAATTACAGATTGCCCTGCCAAAAGGGTCCTCTCCTGACACAAACAGAAAGACGTGCTCAAAGAACTCTCTCTCTCTTCCCTTAAACACGAAGATTAGACTTTCTTGATATAACTTCATCTAAATGAGAGAGAACTGATATCCAATGACCTATGAACTTCGTTGATTGCTGCAGAGACTGATAACACGAAAGAGTTGTTTGTTGGGTTTCGGCTGTGTCCCGTTCTGTTAACTGAAGTTCTCATTCCTGCCACCCGAGGGCACTATTGGAAAGCAAAACGCCCCGGCAGGTCTTCTTGGTCAAGGCTGCTGAGGGAGTGGCTAGGCGAGTTCAAAGTGGGGGCAAGTAGTGGAAGTTTGCATATGTTCTGAGCAAAGCGTGCAACAGCAGGCGGCTCTTACAGGCAAATTTGTGGCAGAGCCTGAAGAGATTCCTTTGAGGCGTCGGCGCTACGCCACAGAAGAGGCCTTTTGCCTCTTCCTGGGTGTGGGTTGAGCTTAGTCCGGGTGCACCTGCAGGGTGTGGCGCGGGAAGGCCTGCTCTTTATCCTTATTCCTTATGGTAGAGGGACTGGATTGAAGATTGCTGGGGCCAGGCGGTGGTGGTGCACGCCTTTAATCCCAGCACTCGGGAGGCAGAGGCAGGCGGATCTCTGTGGTCTACAAGAGCTAGTTCCAGGACAGCCTCCGCTCATGGAAAAATCCTATCTCGAAATACCAAAAAAAAAAAAAAAAAAAAAGGAAGATTGCTGGGTACCTATGTCCTTGTCCAAGAGGGGGAACATCACTCAGGAACGCAACGAACCCTGGCAACAAGGTCTGGCTCTAGGTTGAGGGACTATTAGGTTGGGGGGGGACCAAAGAGGAAAGGGCCTGGGGGAAAATACAAATTAGACAAACTGGTCATGTATGGGAGGGTGGTGCTGCAGTTCGTGGTGGATGCTAATTATCTCCAAAAGGAAGAACCAGGGACTGGAGGTGGGGGCAGGGAAACTGAGCATGAAGCTACTTTAAAGTCCTCAAATACAGAATAAGTACATAAAAGTATAGACTGGACAGGTAATAATCCTAGCTACTCAGAATACCTGATGCAGGAGGATCACAAGTTCAAAGCCTGCCTGAGCTACAGGGTTCAAGAACAGCCTAGGCAACTTAGTGAGACTCTCTCAAAATAAAAAGTAAAAAGGGTAAGGGGTCTTGCTTAGTGGTAATTCTTATCTACATTTTCAACACACACACACACACACACACACACACACACACACACACACACTCACACAGCAGACAGTGAACAGTATCCAGTTTTGTTATTGCTGTTGTTACTTAGCACAACCTTAGAAGTCAGGCCTGTAGCACCCGGGAATCCAGAGGATTCCAGGAATGAGCCCAGAGTCATGAGAGTTCCAAGCAGGAATTCTATACTGGACTCACATTACTCAAGGTCCACATTATTTCTCTTTGAGTCTCATGTTCTCTCCTAGTCCCAAGCACTCAGACTCCTGGGAGGACTCTCTTTCCTAGCAACACCTCTATGACAACCCATCCACCCAGCTCAGTGCTCTGCCGGCCCCGTGCCGAGGTCTGCAGCCGAACTCCCTGCCTTGCTGTTGTCTCTCCCCTGCCCCAGGAGTCTCTCAGTTCTGAGACTCTCAAACTGAAGTACGTATCACGGAAGCCAGCTAGGCTGTGGTGGAGTCAGAGAGAGAGGGGGAGAAGGAATTAGAGACCTGGAGTCAAGAGATGGCTGTTTCTGCCTTCCCAGGATGCCTCCCTCCAGGCTCTGTTCTCCTCGCCCCACCCCCACCACAGCTGTTTCTTTTGGAGAAACACAGAGCCTTTTCTCCTGTTGACAACGAGGGGTGTGTTTGTTTGTTTGTTTTGAGACTGACTGGCCGGCTATAGACCAGATTGGCCTTGAACTTGCAGATCTTTCTGCTTCTGCCTTTCACATCCAGTCAGTGATTAGTTTTTCCTAAATTGCAAAGAGGAAAATGCATTCTTTGTTCTCTAGCATGCACAGCCTGAGGCATCTGATGGAGGAATCCACACCAGTGCAGGAATGCACCCTTGTATCTGTGCATTTACTTTAAGGTGTGGCTGATTCTCCGGGGTAGGTTCCTAGTTACCTCCTTGCTCTGCAGTCCTGCAGAGTCTCCTCCGGGAAGGCTAGCATTACCAGCTTCTATACACTAGTGCTCTTTAAAATGACTTTGTTCTTTATTGGAGCTGGAAACAGAAGACCTTGTGCTTAATGTTCCAGTTCTCATGGCAGCTCACTTTGTTTGCTTTGAGAAGAAGGCCTTTCAATGTCTGGCTGCCCTGAACGTCTGCACTGAAGTGATCCTCCTGACTCAGCTTTCTCAGTAGTGCGAGCTATTAGCAAGCTCTGAGTGATGTAGTCCTGGACGGAGGACATTTTGAGTAAGGAGCACATGTAGTCAGTCAGTGGGTGGAGATAGGCACACCTTTGAATTCTTAATGTGTGGCATAGACACCTTAGTGGGAAGAGCAAATTATAGACTGTATCCTTGCTTTTAGAAAACTCATGAACAGTCTTATTTTTGTGTAAACTCAATTAAGAACCATTTGTTTTTACTGTAATGGAAACCTCTCACAGTTTTCCCCCTTGCTGGCATATATTTAAATTATTAGGCGAGCCTTACCTTGGATGTAGTGCATTACAAGCTGCACATTAATTTCCACATTGCTAGCAGTTGGATCAAACACACAAAGATCCTCAACTAAGTACTTGTTAATGTACTGTGAACAAAGAACAAAGGAAAAGTTACGTGATCGCCCAGTAGAGACACAGAGCCCAACCCACCAGTTTACACGATCCCACACAGGTGCATTCTCACCAGGCAGAACGAATCTCTGCCGTTAGATGTCAAGATCACAGTTAGCTTTGGGGTATGGTCTGGGGAGGGGGCTTGTGAGAAAGGATACAAAACATGGGCTTTTGACATGTCACCTGTGTTGTCTGCCAACACAGTGGTGGGTTATGAGATTGTCTTTACTATGAGAAGGTTCTTGTATACCTGTGAGTTATGCCATCATAATTTGTACATCAAAATAGAAAACCAACCCAAAACAAAATACTCCAAAACTCACAAAAAGATACCCCCAACTCACAAACTTCCACTTTTCCCATTCTTCCAAGTTACTGGAAGAGTCCATCTCCTGCTGAGAGAACAAGATCACTGCTTTCAGCATGTCATGCACGAGGGCCACATTGGCCTCTATCTCCTGGGAATCCATGTCGTGAAAAAATGTGGGGTCCGTTCGAGGTCTGTGCTCATACAGCAGCAGAGACACAAAGTCCATGGAAGTGAGGGCCTGGAGGCATTCCCGAAGCTCCTGCAGCATGACCCGGAAGAAGAGGATTCCTGCCCGAGTGACTTCGCCTGTCTTTTCCATCTCTGCAATTACACACGTTCTAACTGCATATATTATTCTTTCATAGGGTTCTGAGTGTATTACAATAAACTATTTTTTCAGGCAAAGGAGAACCATGTCCCATGACTTTAATCAATTTTAGTTTCTCTAATCACAAAATAAAAAAACAAAATAGAACTATAACTGATGCATCATTTAGGGAATACACGCTTAAAAAAAAAAACCCAAATCTGAGTTTTGTAGTTATGGCTTAGTTTGAAGACTTTATCCATTACTAACTATATTGTCCTTTGAATATACATATATATGGAATAGGGCCAATCCAATCCCTACTTCTTTGGTGAGACATGGGAATTAAAGGAATGGAGTACTTAGTCTTATGGGACCTGGTACCACAGGCCTATAATCCAAGCTATATGGAAGGCTGAGGCAGGGGGATTATGAGTTTAAGGTCTTCCATGAAAGTTATAGTAAATTCAAGGCCAGCTTGGACAATGTAATGAGACCTTATGTCAAAATAAAAATGAAAAGTAGGGCTGGGAACATAGCTTAGTGACAGTGTGCCTGCCTTGTCTCTGGGGTTAATCCCCAGGGCTTTGAATACAAGCCTCAGGTCTCAGGACCTGCACAGACTGAACACTTGCAGGGGCTGTGTTCTTTTGTCTTTTTCCCTCCCACCTTTATTTTCTTTCTCATCTTAAGCGATCCTTCTGAGGTGGCCTCTGAAGCAGCTGGGTTTACAGGCTGGTGTCACCACACCCGGCCTTCTTTCTTCTGTCACACTCTGTATAATAGCTATAAATTGTTCCACTTAATCCCACACACTGTTATTCTAAATCTATTCAATTCACTACCAGTGCCTTCTTCTCACCCACTGCCTAAGATGATATTGTGCTAAGGGTAGCCTAGGGTACGTAGAATCACAAGAGCTGGTCTTGGCCCAGCCAGTGGCTTGTTATTCTACCTTGGAAAAATTCACTTTACCTTTGTAGGCTTTAGTTCTTTAATATGTAAAATGAGATGTTCAAATTATTTGATGCTGTGTAAAATTGTGGAAAAAATAGTCAAAACCAAGTTTGAATCCAGCTTTTTACCATCTGTTGTTTACTTTTACTGAATCTCACTCTCTGCACCTGTGAAATGGGTCACTGCTATTGCCCTTGTGAAGTTGTGGCAAAGGCAATGGAAGTGAATCTTTAACACATTTCACAGCAGATGGGTCATCTCACCTTCTAAGGGTAAGGTCCTAACTGAGACAATGGTGTGTTTGCTCTTTGCTAGGTTATACAGCATACCCACCGGGGAAGCCTGCAATAGGGAATTCTTTTCACATGGGAAGAGCAACATAGTGAAATGATCAACTTTAGAAACCACATCCTTCATCTGTGTCTGTGATTTCCTCCAAGAAAACTACAAATCCAGACTGTTAGCATATCCACAATACCTATGACCTCATTTTTCTTGATTTCTCCAGAGAATTCGCCCAGTATTTCATCCGAGGCATTTTGGATCATCTTCGCCATTTTCTGTAGATCTTTATATTCTTGATATACCAGCATCCTACTCTGGCCAATGTTAACATCGAGGACTCCCATAGTCTCTCTTGTTCTTTCACGAAGTGGAATTACAATGTGGGTTTCTCCATTGGTAGAAGCCAAAATAACTTCTGAAGTGTCAGTGCACTTAAAGAGGAAATCTCTGAAACCAAACCAAATCAGCACAGGTCTATTACACACCAGCCTGTTCACAGCATTCCACCAATAGACTGAATTACTCTCCTGCCTACCTTGTCCCAGCTCGCCGCCATTGTTCTTTCATCGGCCTAGGGTGCTGCACCCATCAATTTCATACGACTGTCCTTGGCTCAACTCATTTGGACGCTTCTCTTTGTGAACATCCCTTCAGCAGAGAGCCTTCCCTGACAAGCTCACCTAAGGTAGCAGCGCCAGGCTGTTCTGCATCATGAGGCTCTGCTCTACTGTCTAACACAGGGCAGTTATACTTACCTGAAGGTATGGGTTTTTTTTTTTTTTGCTTGATTTTTTTAAATGTACTGATAGTCTAAAATGTGTCAGATGAGTGCTGGAAGGTTCCTTGGAAGCAGAGCCTCAGACTCCCTGGAGAGCAGGGCAAATGCAGATCCAGTCTGCTCAGACTAGTCCCAAGGAGGATACCCAGGATGTCAATTATACCAAAGACTAAGTCTTATTCCGAGGTAAGGGAGACTTTGGCATCCTACCTCTAGTCTGCCATTGGCTGCCAGTTGCTCTAAGTGTATAGTGGGGTTCCGGGATGGAAGAGTTCAGGGAAATCTTGGGTAACTTCTAAGGTGCTCTAATCACTTGAGGGCACTTCTTTAAGAAAGTTTCCCTGCAGGGAAGCTGTAGCAGTAGCTATAGCATCTGGCAAGAGGCATGTTGAGGATCCAGGCAGGGTGGCTGCAACCCATGCTTCAGTGAGGGACTGAGATTTTTTTTTTCATGGAAATGTAGTAGCTGCTTCCTACTCTAGTGAGGCAGACATATCTCTTTTAGAAACATTGCCTCTCCTGTTTGACCAACACATGCATTCCTACGTTCACAGGACCGTGAACAGAATAAGTGGTGTTTGGCAAATTTAAAAAATAATAAATGAGAACAAGTGTGCTAATAAAGGAAGAGGCTGTGTCTTCAGGTCTATGATCACCGTCAGATGAACCAGATGTGTCTTATACCTGAAGATGCATGACTTCCTTGAAATGGTTGGGGGTTCTGTATGGATTTCTGTTAGACCAAAATATTCTGTAACCATCATTTTGCGTAAAACATACTCTTCCTGAAAAAGAAAAAGAAATCTCATTAGAAAGCAGTAATTGGGGGGGAGGGGGACCTGGGAAATAGAGAGAGGGGGAGAAGTGAAAGAGAGAGTAGGACCTGGAGGAACAGGAAGGTTGACTGTGTGGGGTAGGATAGGGGGAAGAGGGAATCATAGGTTAAAGACAGATCAGGCACCATTGTGACCTCTAGTGATCTAAATGGATGACACCAATTGGCAAGCTAAGCAATAGTGTAGAGACCACCTCTATTCCTGATAGTGAACTTGATGTCTATAACCATCCTGAAGCCTTCATCCAGTGACTGATGGAAGCAGAGGCAAACACCCACAGTTAAATACTGAACAGAACCCAAGGAACCCAGCGACAGAGAGAGAGGAGTGAAGAGCAAATTGGCAAAGAATGGGATGGCAAAACCAGCAGAGACAGCTGATCCGAACAGGGGAGAGCTCTTGGACCCCAGACCAACAGCTGGGAGGCCAGCATGGGACCGATCCAGACCCCCTGAATGTGAGAGTCAATGAGGAGGCCTGGGCTACCTATAGGGTCCTGAGCAGTGGATCAGTGTTTATCCCTCGAATACTAACAGACATCGTGTGTCCATAACACAAAGAGGGTTGCTCTCTCTGCCTGGACTCTTAGGGAAGTGCCTGGACCCTACCCTGAATGAAATGATAGACTCTAAATATGCCCTATGCGGAAGGAATTGGTAATAGGGTGGGAGGATGGGGGGAGGGCGGGGGGGGTGCGGGAGGAGGGGAGGGAGAGGGAACTGGGATTGACATGTAAAACAAGCTATTTAAAATAAAAAAAAATAAAAAAATGAGAACAATTAAAAAAAGCAGTAATTGGACCTTTTGGCTTAGATAAAGGGAGAAAAACTAGGGAAGTTTAGATGAGTTCTGGCTTTAAGGATATTGACATTGTATATATTCTGGGCCATTAAAGGACAATATTCCAAAAGTAAAAATTTTCAAAAGAATAAGATTATTTTAATACATATATGTTTTTTATATCTGAAAAAGCTGTGTGTTTATGTTTTTTCTTGTTTTGCTTTGTTTTGAGACAGGGTTTCACTATGTAGCCCTGGCTGGCCTGGAACTCCCGATGTAGACCAGGCTGGCCTAAGACTCAAAAAGATCACCTGTCTCTGCCTCCTGAGTACAAGGATTAAAATGTGTGCCATCACACCTGGATAAATTGTATGTTTAAGGTGTTTCTCATATTAAAATGTGCATTGTGGGCCACTGTGGTAGTGCATGCCTGTAATCCCAGCACTTGGGAGGAGGGGGGACCATAAATTTAAGGTTAGTCTTGGCTACATAGTGAATTCCGAGCCAGCCTTGGTAAGATGCTATCACAATAAACAAAAATCACTGTAAAACACTCAGAAAATAAATAAAGGCCCATGGAAAATAAGTACAATAAACATATTCTTCAATAAGGTCATTTCCCTACTTCTTCACTGCAGCTGTTGCTGGCTGTCAAGGTTCTGAGCGAGTCGTCTTCAAGTCTATCGGTCAAATGCTAGTCATCATCATCTACTGTCTGGCAACATTTTATTTGTCAGATGTTCACTATTTTTTTTGTCAGAGACAGGGCCTCTCTATGTCACTTTGATTGGAACTTGCTATGTAAACCAGGCTGGCCTTGAATTCATGAATATCCACCTGTCTCTGCCTTTCCAGTGCTGGAATTAAAGGTGTGTGCCACCACACTAGGAACTTCTTTTTTGTAAGATTTACTTTTACTTTTAATTATGTGTACCTATGTGTGGGTATATACCTATGAGTGAAGGTGCCCTCAGAGGCCAGAGGCATCTGAAGCTGGACTTACAAGTGATTGTGAGTCATCCATTGTGTGTTCTGGGAATGAACTCTTGTCCTCAGCAAAAGCAGGATGCACCCTTAACCCCTGAGCCATTTCTCCAGAATAACACTCACTTCTTGATAAGCTTTTCTTCGCGTGACTTTTAGGACCCCACTTTCCACTCTCCCCTGGTTTTCCTTCTGTCTCACCAATATGATGGCTCATTCTCCTTGTTCATCTTTACTTCTCTTACTTCTAAGCAGTTTTCAACCTTTAGTATACATCTTATAGCCTCTTAAATGTAAGTTGCAACCCACCAAATGTAGGGGGGATTGCATAAAATATTCATCATTAAATGTTTCTGAATGTGCAATGACTAACAATTCATTCAAAATCAAAACGAATTGAGATGTTTCCAGCAGCTTTTGCCCATGTTGTATCATGTGACACACAACGTATGCCTCATGTCATGCCATGAAACACCAAGGAGCAATGCATGAAACACCTCGGCTCAGATTCAAGACTACTGCGTTACACACTGCTACATTTTTATTATATATGCAAGACAATCTGCTCTTACAGAAACATAATGGTTTAATCAGGGGAAACAAAGACTCTATCTATCTATCTATCTATCTATCTATCTATCTATCTATCTATCTATCTACACATCCTTCTCTCATATATTATACCCTGACCTAGTTTCCACTCCCTTCTCTGCTCCCTGTTCTCCCCACCACCTCCCCTCTCCCCCAGATCCACTTCCCCTCCAGTTCCCTTCAGAAAAAGCCTTCCAGGGATACCAACCAACATGGTGTATCAAGGTACAATAAGACTATGTACCCCTCCCAATATTAAGGCTGAATGGGGCAACCTGGTAGTAGGAAAAGGATTCTAAAAACAGGCAAAAGAGTCAGAGACAGTCCTACTCCCACTGTTAGGAGTCTCACAAGAAGACCAAGCTCCACAACCATGATGTATGTGCAGAGGGCCTAGGTCAGTCCCATGCAGGCTCCCTGATTGTCGGTTCAGTCTCTGTGAGCTTCCATGAGCCCTGGTTAGTTGATTCTATGGGTTTTCTTGTGGTGTCCTTGACCCCTCACCTTCCTCCCCATCTTTGGCAGGATTCCCCCGGTTCTGCCTAATGTTTGGCTGTGGATTTCTGCATCTGCTCCTATCAATTGCTGGATCAAGCCTCTATGATGACAATTATGCTAGGCTCCTGTCAATGAATATAGAAAAGTATCATTAGGAATAATTTAATTTATCTATGTGTTTGTTTATTTATTGCCAGTCATGTTTGGTTCTATACTAGGTCTTTGGTTCCTGGCCTTCCACACAATGTTAGAGGAGGCATGGCATGGGTCTCAAGCTGGACCTTGGCCACTCCCACCAGTTCTGCACCACCTTTAACCTGCACATCTTGGAGGCAGGACAAATTGTAGGTTGAAGGTTTTGTGACTGGGTTGATGTCCAGGTCTCTCCGCTCGAAGACATGCCTTGTTACAGAAAATGGCCAGTTCAGGCTCTATATGTTCCATTAGTAAGAGTATTAGCTAGGGTCACCCTCATAGATTTCTGGGAGTTTCCATTATACTAGGTTTCTACCTCACCATGAAATGCCCCCCTCAATTCCAGTCATCTATCTCAGTATCCTTTCCCTCATCCCACCACCACCTGATTCCTATTCCTGGCCTCACCCACTCCCAGTCCATACTAGATATCTATTCTATTTCCCCTTCCCAGGGAGAAGCATGCATCCCTCTCTTGAGCCTTCCTTGTTACTTAGCTTCTCTGGGTCTGTGGATTATAGCACAGTTATCCTTTCCTTTATAACTAATATTCACTTATAAGTGAGTACATTCCATGTTTGTCTTTCTGGATCTGGGCAACCAAATGATTTTTTTCTAGTTCCATCTATTTGTCTGCAAATTTCATGATATTATTTTTTTAACAACTGAGTAATACATTATATAAATGTACCACATTTTCTTTCTCCATTCTTCTGTTGAGGAACATCTAGGTTGTTTTCAGTTTCTGGCTATTTTGAATAAAGCTGCTATGAATATATCTGAGTAAGTGTCCTTGTGGTAGAATGGAGGGAACTTTGGGTATATGCCCAGGAATGGCATAGCTGAGAAGTAGTCATATTGATTTCCAAAGTGTCTATATAAGTTTGCACTCCCACCAGCCATGGAGGAGTGTTCCCCTTGTTTTACATCCTTGCCAGCATGAGCTGTCACTTGTGGTTTTGATCTTAGCCATTCTGACAGGTGTAAGATGGAATCTCAGTCATTTTGATTTGCATTTCTCTGATGACTATAGATGTTGAACATTTAAGTGTTTCTCAGTCATTTGAGATTCTGTTTAGATCTATACCCCATTTTTAAATTGGATCATTTAGTTTGTTTCTGTCTAGTTTCTTGAATTCTTTATATATTTTGGATATTAGCCCTCTGTCAGATGTGGAGTTAGTGAAAATCTTTTCCCATTCTGTAGGCTGTTGTTTTGTTCTACTGACATTGTCCTTTGCCTTACAGAAGCTTTTTAGTTTCGTGAGGTCTCATTTATTAATTGTTAATCTTAATGCCTGTGCTATTGGTATTCTGTCCAGGAAGTTGTCTCCTGTGCCAATGCATTCAAAGCTATTCCCCACTTTCTCTTCTATCAGATTCAATGTATCTGGTCTTATGTTGAGGTCTTTGATCCACTTGAACTTGAGTTTTGTTCAGGGTGATAGATATGGATGTATTTGCATTCTTCTACATGCTGACATCCAGTTAGACCAGCATAATTTGTTAAAGATGTTTTCTTTTTTCTATTGTATATTTCTTGCATCTGTTTAAAAAATCAGATATCCATAGGTGTGTGGATTTACAGCTGGGTCTTTGATTTGATTCCATTGATCCACATGTTGTTTTTATGCCAACACCATGCAGTTTTTATTAATATAGCCCTGTTGTACAGCTTGAAATCAGGGGTGGTGATACCTCTGAAAGTTCTTTTATTGCACAGGATTGAAACAAAGATTTTAGTATTTTTATTCCATTATTCCTTGGCATTTAAGGATCAAATTAGTGTATCTTTGGATTATATTGGGTTAGAATATTTGATTTTAGAAGTTGCTGTTTGAGTTGCTCCTCGAGTTTCATAAAAAATTGTTAAATGAATTTTAATTTGGGACTAGCACAAATTCTCAACAAACTTCTGCCTTCTGTGTTATGGATATAAGTAAAACAGTATTCTTAGAATTAATGATTGTAAAATCAGCATCTCAGTCAATTCTGAAGAGTGTTGAAGATGTTCTCTGTACTACAGCATCAAATCTTCATCCAAGATTTTAATTTTTTATGTAAAAGTAAGCAAACACATCCACCTAAGTAGTTTACAAGTTTCCTTTTTTCTTTCATAATTTTATGTATAACAAAACCATCTTTAAAAATAAATTTATGATTTGTGATTAGTAAACATTGGATTTAAAACCTATTTTTCATACTCATTGGGTTATATAAAAGTTTCTTGGGCAAAAGGAGGTTGCAAATGGAAACACTTAAGAAGCCATGCTGTATGTAGGCTGTGGGTCACAACCTCTTTGGGAGTTGAATTAACTTTACACAGAGGTCACCTAAAACCATCAGAAGACACAAATACTTATATTATGATTCATAACAAAATTATAGTTATGAAATAGCAACAAAAATAATTTTATGGTTGGGGGTCACCACAACATGAGGAACTGTGTTAAAGGTTGGAAGGATTAGGAAGGTTGTTAACCACTACTCTAGGAGAAGTTGGTGGGGACTGCCATGCTGAAACTGGACATTGGTCATGGTCTGAAGATCTGCTAGGCCTTCTGTACCCTTAACAGAGCCTTTGAGAGATTTGAAGCTTTCCAGACTATGTTTGAAATTAAAATGAAAGCATCTTGTAAGGAAGACAGAGGCAGGGATAAAATACTGACAACTGGTGGTGGCAAGGCTTTGCCAAACTTACAAGATCATCATTAATTCGCTCATGCACCCAACTGCGCATTCAATACTTCCAGCTAGATGTCTGGCATACATTTCAAATTATATTTAAACCCCTCTGGAGCCAGGTGTGGTGGAACACGCCTTTAATCCTATCATTCATGAGGTAGAAGCAGGTGGATCTCTGTGAGTTTGAGGCCAGCCTGATCTGCAGAATGAGTTCCAGGGCTAGTTGGAAAGGAGAGGAGAGGAGAAGAGAAGAGAGGAGGGGAGGGGAGGGGAGAGGAAGGTAGAGGAGAAAGGACCTTTTGTTGGGGGGATGCCAGTGAGATGGCTCAATGAGTGAAGGAACTTGGCACCTGCTGCTAAGCCTGATGACCTGAGTTTGATTCCTGGGACCTGCATGGTTAGGAAAGAACCAATTTCTGCCAACAGTTAAGGTCTCTACCTGTCCATGCCATTACTAAGACCCTGGCTTCTGGGAAGACTGCCTTTCCCCTAGCCTTTCAACACGGTCCTTTCACAGTATAAATGGCCCTGCACAGATGGACCATGACCCTTGTGTTTTTGTCTGTGTTGTCAAGATATTAAATTAAACCCTGGGAAGCCATGTTTCTTGTTGACTGATTTAAGCTATTTTGGTCATTTACCCTAGGTGTTTTATTTCTCAAAACCCTGAAAAAATGCCTTTGAATCTTTCTTAGAACCCACTTTGGCCTTAAAGGGGTGGTAACCTGTTAGATGGAGTGGATTACTCTAGGTAGGAGGGTAACTGAAAGCTCCTATTCCTATTCCCTACCCTCCTCTCAGGGAATGATTCAGAGACAAGATATTCTCAACACCTCTATCAAGCATCAAGAGCTCTGTGTGTCTACTTTCTAATACCAAGGTTTTGGCAGCATGGCCAAGCCATGAAGAGAGGAAAACGGGGGTCTTATTTCCTTCCTTCCATGACCATGTCTCACTATTAGCTCAGACTGACTTTCAACTCATAATTCTTTTGTCTCAGTTTCTGAAGTACTGGGATTGTGGGCATGAACCACCATATCTGGCCTTACTCACTTTTAAAGATGATGCCTTTTCATCCAGCCTCATAATGTGGAAAACTCAAGTATTAAAGATGAGTAGAAAGATACAAAGAAAACATGGAGCAGACATTCATTATACAGACAGGGGAGACTAAAATTTTTATTGTTATGATGTAATTGTGTCTAAAAATGGCACTCTCACCATTTCCTACTTTACTGGTATGATTCTGGCATGCATTACCTCTTTGACCACTGGATGTATGCCATGACAAGTCAGAACAAGTTTTCTTTTATAGGTTTCAAAATTGGAACCTAAAAATAAAAGTATAATTCATGTGTGTATTTGTGTGCCTGCTTATCTGTATGTGTACCTCATGTGTATGGGTGCCCACAGAAGACAAAGGAGGGTATTGGAACCCTACGAACTAGAGTTACAGGCAGCTGTGACACACCTGATGTAGATGCTGGGAATTGAACCCAGGTTTTCTGCAAGAATAACAAGTGCACTTAACCACTGAGCCATCTCTCTAACTCATTCAAATTGGAACATTTATTTATTTTGTATGTTTCTGTATGTGTAAGCATGAGTTCATGTGTACCATATGCATGCAGCAGCTCATAGTGGCCAGAAGAGGGCATTGTATCTCCTGGAACTGGAATTGCAAATGGTTGCAAGTGGCTATGTGGTTACTGGGAATTGAACCTGGGTCCTCTGCAATCTTTCTGGCCCCACCCTCCAAACACTGGAACTTTTTTTTTTTTTTTTTTTTTGGTTTTAGGAGACAGGATTTCTCAGTATTGTTTTGGAGGCTGTCGGTCCAGCCCGGCCTCGAACGCACAGTAATCTGCCTGCCTCTGCCTCCCGAGTGCTGGGATTAAAGGCGTGCGACCGCCCAACCAAACACTGGAACTTTTAAACTGGATTTTTTTCTTGATAAGTATCTCACTTGCCTTATGGAGAAAGTCTTTCTTCAGGAGGTCCTGGATCTGGTCATGCTGGAAACCAATTAAATTCCCACTTACTATCTTTTTCACCTACATATATGTGTGGGTCACATGTGTGGAGCTCAGAAGACAAGTCTCAATAGTTGATCAAACTCATCAGACATGCAAAAAGGTGGGTGTCTGTATCCTTTGAGCCAGCTCCCCAAACTGACTCATTTCATTCAAGCAATACTCCTTTTTGCCTAAGGCAATTTGGAACAGATTCTTCTTATGTGCAACCAAGAAGTTTGAGTTAGGATCATAATTTTATTTGATTGTTTCTTTGTGTGTGTGTGGTTCTGGGATCAAACCCAGAGTCTTGAGCATGCTAGCAAGTGACCTATCACTGAGCCACATCCCTAATGATATAACTCTTAAATATTAATAAGACATTAATATTTAATAATTGTATAATATTGAAAAGGTGTAATATGTCCTGGCTTTGCTTACCTGCTCTGGGCTAGGTTCAATAAAGCTCGTAGTGATGGAGGTGATGCCAGATGTGACATTGAAGAGCCACTTGATGCCAGTGATCACAGTATGAAGGATGTGTTCCCTGCTATGAACATAGTGATAGGCAGTGCTGAAGGCATTGGCAACACCCTGTGAAGACAAACAATTCAACTTGCATTTTTTAAAATTACAAAGTGGTTGGTAATAAATGTCTCTTAATTTTATGATCAACAAATTAGTTAAAATCAGTTCTCAAGAGATACTCTGAGATTCTGTTATGCAAAAAGGATCATCAAGACATCAAAGTATAGAGAGGCCCATATAACCTTTTATGCTTTACGATAGGTATGTGTTGTCAGAAGATAAACTCAGAAAGGAAAAACCATTATTATTATTATTATTGTTATTATTATTATTGTGACAGGTTCTCATGTGACCCTGCCTGCCTAGCCTAGAACTTGCTGTGTAGACCAGTCTGGCCTTGAACTCACAGAGATCCACCTACCTCTGCCTCTCAATTCCTGGAATTAACTTGACTCCCAAAATTCGTTTTTTTATATCTACCATCAGGTCAACAGAACAGAATGTTTGGTTTCAAGACCTACAAATGCAGTTATGGCCTTGTCAAAACACTCTAGGAACCACAAATTCTTCAGAATCTCTCTCTCTCTCTCTCTCTCTCTCTCTCTCTCTCTCTCTCTGTCTCTCTCTCACACACACACACACACACACACACTCCAACATATGTGGGAGAGACAGACACAGAGATCAGATTCAAGAGAGAGAAGGAGGGAGATGGATGGATGGATAGGTAGATAGATAGATAGAAGTCATCTAAGGGTAACCCAGGGATTTAGTTTCCAAGACTAGACACCTAATTTATAATCATTTGGACATGCTCATTAGTAAGACTATAAGTAGTTTATTTTCTGACAAATCCATACTCTACCATTTGCTTCCTAATATCTTTGTCTCATATTAATTGACATGAGAATGAATCTTATTTTAAAAGATGTTCAGAGAAAGAACCTACCAGCTTCCTTAGTTATCCAGACAGTAAGATGAAAGAGAAAGCAAAGGCAAACTCACACAAAGAGCATGGCTTAGAGGGACAAAGAGCACGGGTGCAGTGAGCTCCTGACTTGCTGCAGTCCCCAGACTGGTGTGGGACTGTACACTGTGTGAAGATGTATTTGCTATGTTAATAAAAAGCTGAATGGTCAATAGCTAGGCAGGAGGTATAGGTAAAACTCTGGGAAAGAGAAAGGCAGAGACACCAGGAGACACAGACAGGAAACAGGAGGTGCAAGACAGAAGAGAGGTGACTCCACATGATAGACTGCAGATTAATATAAACGAGTTAATTTAAGTTATAAGAGCTGGTCAGGAGGAACAGCTTAAGCTATAGGCTGAGCTTTTATAATTAATAAGTCTCCGTGTCAATATTTGTAAGCTGGCAGCCCAAAGAAAGACCCGACTACAACAGACCATGGCTTTAGATCTATCTTCATTGCAAATTCTACGCATAAAATTAGATCAAAATGTTCTAGCTATTTCACAGTCTGAAATGTGCCTGACATTTTCATGATCTAATCTGAAAATACGAATTCTCAAGAAATATTTGGGCTTCTTCATTTTCCTCAAAAATTATAACAGAGCTGTGAGGATGCATGCCATATTTGGTATCCCTTGTGAAAAGAACAAAGGAATTGATAGGGAGCATTATTAATAAAAACAAACATACCCCTTTGTCCCAGCTTCATTTTTGCTGCTGTGAAAATCTATGCTGACACAAACAACTCTGTAAAGAAAGGGTTAACTCCAGATTGCAATGCAGTATTTTGAGGAAGTCAAGGCAAGAACTTAAAACAATCATTCTCAATGGGTGGGTCGAGACCTTTTTGAAAAGCCTCTATCTCTAAAAGTATTTACATTATGATTCATAACAGCAAAGTTATAGTTATGAGGTAGCAATGAAATAGTTTTTATGGTTGGGGGGGTCACACAACATGAGGAACTGTGTTAAAGGGTTGCAACTTCAGGAAGGCTGAGAATCACTGAAAAAACATCACATGGGCAGTTAAGAGTAGAGAGCTGGGCGGTGGTGGCGCATGCCTTTAATCCCAGCACTCAGGAGGCAGAGGCAGGCAGATCTCTGTGAGTTCGAGACCAGCCTGGTCTACAAGAGCTAGTTCACAAACCCTGTCTCCAAAGACCAAAAAAAAAAAAAAAAAAAGAGAATAAACTCATAGACCTATGGACCTTTTTTGCTACTATGCTCAGCTAGCTTTCTTGTAACACTGTTCAGGACCCCTCTGCCTTTGAATGGCACTGCTCACAACAGGTTGGGTCTTCCTGCATCAATTAACAGTCAAGATACCCCTGCCTGACGGGCTAATCTAATCCACACAATTCCCCTTGAAGACTCTCTTCCCAGTTATCTAAAGATAACTACCACACCCTTCTACATGTTTCTTCCCACTTTGTGGGTCTCAGTGGTTTTAGTTATTAGTTCTGTTACAAAGCATCAGTTTCTGCTCCTATGCTTAGTGCTAGGAGACACGATGAACAATATTTCCAGAGCGCTCAGGCATAGATTTGTCAAAGTCCTTCCACAAATTATAAGGAACATGTCAAAAGTTGATAGATAAAGGAAACAGAACAAGAATGATGACACTGTCTACATACAGCTTTACTCTCCTTCTCTGCTTTGGGGTTTGACTTTGAAGACATTAGATAGAGAAGCTATTGACTGCTGCTCTTGTATACGTCTAGATTACCTGATAGAAACTGATCTCATGAGGTAGGAAGATGTTTATTTCATGGGGATCTCGAAGAGTGTCAACTGCCAGGACCCCAAAGATTCTCATATGTGCATCCTGAAGAGGCAGAGCCAGGAATGACCCATTATGCTCACTCTTGCTGCGGGTATTGTTCCAGAAGAAGATGTTTCCATGGTGCTGAACTTGTGGGACATGGATTGGCCTGCCTTCATCCACTACTGTAAAACTGTTGAAAAGGGACACAAGGATAGGGAAGAACCACAGGCTTTAGACTAAACAATAGAGAAAACAAAATATAGCCTTCTACAATTTTAAGCATTGTATGTAGAGGAGGTGGATCAGGAAATATCAACAGTTTGGAGGGAAAGATTTAAAAAATAATGATAGGGCTAGAAGTGAAGTTCAAAGGTAGAGTACTTGTGGCATGTGTAAAGCATCCAGTTCAATCTCCAGTATTGCAAAAGAGAAGCAGAAATAAGGAACCAACCTTAGATTTTAAGAGAAAATAATATACATGCCAAATGCCAAATGCCAGGGTTACAGATTATGGAGCCAACATTGTAAAGCCAAGCCCTTAAACAGTGAAACATTTCCAGAGTGAGTTCTAAAAGTGATTTGGTAAAACCAATTAAGACTATGAGGTGTAAGAGAGGAATCAGTAAGAAAAATAATAAAAAAAGGAAAGTGGGGGCACTGCTCCTCTTTCAGAGGACCTGGGTTTGATTCCCAGAACCCACATGGTGTCTCATAACTGACCATAACTATAGTTTCAGGGGGATCTGACACCCTCTTCTGGCCTCTGCAGGCATCAGGCATGCAAGTGGTGCACAGACATGCATGCCAGCAAAATGCCATACACACAAAACAAATTAATTGATAAAATACAACAGTAAAAACCATTTAGGACTGGGAGCCCATCAGGTACCACTCTGGAAGCACTGGTGACTTAGTTCTCCCTTGAGAAAATCACCAAGGTCCAATGCCAATTATCTTCGAAAGGAAAAATACATTTGTAGGGTTGCAGCTAGAAAGATGTAATCAGAGCCAGGCATCATGGCACATACCTGTAATCCAGCACTTGGAGGGTAGAGGCAGGAGGATCAGGAGTTCAAGGCCAGACTTGAGTACATTATGAGTTGGAGGTCAGCCTGAAGTACATGAGATCCTATCTTTAAAATGAACAGAAAGAAACCAACTCTTCAACAGGTTCTTACCTGATTCCCTTCATGTCCCTGTAGAGTACTTTGTTCAGAACAAATGGAGCATCATCTAGGGTACAAGCCACATTCCTCAAGAGAACATCCCCCCTGTTCGGCAGCAGAAGGTTTTCTTCTAAAAGGGAAATGTGAGCACTGATCTTCTTATTTCCATGAGCCTCAGCATCCTGTGGCAAAAGATTTTTGATCATGTGTTTGCATCTGTCAATGGCTATAGAGATCCCCTAACCCCTTTGTTAGCCTATTTGGGAATCTAGCACCAATAATTTCATTGAATAAATGATGCAGAGGTAACCAATCATGGGCAGTGGGAAAAAGGCTCATACCATGTTGCCCCTTTAAACCTGAGTTGTATTTAGTCAGTCTTACATGTAGTTAGATTGCTTCACTGAAAATAAACACAACCCAAACTGAAATAAAACCTCTTAACTCTAATAAAAAAAATTTTGAGACAGGGTTTCTCTGTGGCTTTGGAGGCTGTCCTGGAACTAGCTCTTGTAGACCAGGCTGGTTTCGAATTCACAGAGATCTGCCTGCCTCTGCTGGGATTAAAGGTGTGAGCCACCACTGCCAGGCGATACTTTAATCAAATTTAAAGGTTCAAAACTGAGATCGTTTGGAACCACAATCATAGCTGAAGGCGAGGGACTTCAGTAGAGTGTTGATTTTGGAGGGCTGCAGCTAGAAGATGCCTGCATTCTTCTCATCTTTCACCATCTAAACATAAGTGAAAAACAAAGCTCTCGGGGGATCTGCTTTAAGTCTCAAAAAAGATTTCTTTATTTTTATGTCTCAGGTATGAGTGCTCTGCCTACACGCTCCATGTGCATGCCTGGTGCCAGCAGAGCCCAGAAGAGGACATTAGATCTCCTGGAACTGGAGTTACAGGTGATTGTGAGTCACTATGTGGGGGCTGGGAATTGAAACTGGGTCCTCTGCAAGAACAAGTGTACTTAACTGCTGAGCCATTTTTCCAGCCTCAAGGAATTCTTAACTGTATGGATCTGATCACGGACATTTCAGGAAAGAGCTTCTTGGAGACTAAGACTGTAGACTTTCTTTTTTAAAATTCATATATAAAGATTAGATTTCACTGTGACATTCATCAAAGTTTGTTTTTGTTGTTTCTTCTCCCCCCCCATTCTTTTCTCTCCCTTGCCCCCCCCACGGTCTCCTTTCTGTTTTTATGTCACATGTGACCCTTTGCACTCCCCTCTCCTTAACACTTCCTGTTCCCTTCTTGTGGTCTCTCATCTAGTTTAATAGCCTATACTCTTCCTTATCCCGTGATAACTATTCTTGCTTGTCAACTTGACTACATCTCAAATTAATCAAAACATAAGTTGCTGAGTCCACCTGTGAAGGATTTTTCCTTATTGAATTGTTTGAGTGGGAAGACGCACCCTAAATTTGGATCTTTTGAGGGGGGGAAGATCTAGCTTAAATCTGGGCCACAACCGGTGGCAGCCTATATAAAGAACAAGGGAGAACAAAGCATTGCTCTCTGCCTGCTTGCCCTCACTCTCCCTGGCAAGTTCATTCCTTCATTGGCATTGGAGCTTCTTCTTGGGGATTCTGGTGTATACATACTGAAGACCAGCTGAGACACACAGCTTCACGAGTTGAATAGTTACTGGATTCTTTGGCCTTCCATTGGTAGACAGCCATTGTTGGACTAGCTGGACCACTGCTTGTAAACCATTCCAATACCTGCCCCCACCTTTTATTTGAGACAGGTTCTTTCTACGTCCTGGAGAACACAAAGATCCCCTGCTTTTGCATCCTGGATGCTGGAATTAAAGGTATGTACCATGGAATATTTCTCTCTCTCTCTCTCTCTCTCTCTCTCTCTCTCTCTCTCTGTCTGTCTACACACACACACACACACACACACACACACACACACACACACACACACTATCAGTTCTGTTTCTCTAGAGAATCCTGAATAACACATCCCCTTTATTTGCATACACACATTATAAAATGTTCAGCTCTGCATATGAGTGAGAACATGCAATTCTTATCTTTCTGAGTCTGGTTAACTTCACTTAATATTTCTAGAGTGCTCCATTGTCCTGAAAACTTCATAATTGCTTTTCTTTACAGCTGAACAAAATTCCATTGTGTATCTGTGCCACATTTTCATTATCCAGTATTCTATTGGTAGCCATCTAGGCTGCTTCTATTTCTTTGCTAATGTGAAAGATGTAGGAATGAATGTAAACATGCAAGTATCTCTGCGTAAGATACAGAGTTCTTTGGTATATGCTCAGGAATGATACAGCTGAGCCACATGATAGTTCTATTTTTAGCTTTTTGAAGAACATCCACACCGATTTCTGCAGTGGTTGTATTAGTTTATATTCTCATCCATACTGGATAAGGTTTCCTTTCCCCTACATCCTCTCCAGCATTTGTGGCCATTTGTTTTGTGATCATAGCCATTTTGACTGGGGTGAGATGGAATCTGAAACTAGTTTTAATTTGTGTTTTTCCAATGACTAAAAAAGTTGAAACTTAAAAAAGTTGGCCATTTATCTTTCTTATCTATCTATCTATCTATCTATCTATCTATCTATCTATCTATCTATATCTACCTACCTACCTATCTTTTTTTTGAGACAGGGTTTCTCTGTGTAACTTCACTGGTTGCCCTGGAATGCACTGTGTAGACCAAGCTGGCCTCAAATCAGAGATCCACTTGCTTCTGCCTCCCTAGTGCTGTGATTAAAGGCGTGTGCCACCACTGCCTGACTTATTTACTTCATTTTTGAGACAAGGCCTCACTATGTACTTTTGGCTGACTTGAAAGGTTCCCTGAAATCCACCTGGTGGAAGGAGGAAACTGCCTCCACAAGTTGTCCTTTCACCTCTACACATACCATCCCCATAATAAAAATGAAATTTAAACAATGAAACATTCTTTTTTGATGAGTAAATTGTTCCTCAAGCATCATGCAGAGTCAATGCAGCTTGCACTGTCACATATCTCCCTACTGGCATTTTTCATTATCATTATATTATCTAGTCTTGGCATGTATGACTTTCAGAATAGCTAAGTTTCCAGGACATCATTCCACATCCATCTTGCTTCAATCATTCCAGCTTTAGCTCACTTAGCTTGCTTTATTTTTATGTATTTTTTAAAGACAGAACTTTATGTATCCCAGCCTGACCTCAAATTCAGTATCTAGCCAAGGATGATTTTTAAATTTTGATCCTCTTGGCTCTACTTTCTGAGAGTTGAAAGTGGAAATACATGCCATTCAGGCCTGACTAACAAAGAACTGGGGACTGAACCCACAGCTTCACACAGCCTGTCAATTGAACTACATCCCTAGCCCCTCACTTACGTTTGAGTCATTTACAATTTTTTAAAAACAAACAAACAACCTGTAGCATCCCTCAGTGATGTTTTTCATCATTCAGTGATTTTTCAAGCAAATTTTATGTGTTCCACCTCTGTAGCCATTGAACATCATATACTGTGAGAAGATGTTTCCTCTTACATTCCTTCAGAAAGCATACCTGGGTGAGGGCCCTAAAGGTCTCAGTATACACTGGCTCCAGTGATACCCCACTTGTCTCTGCAGCATGTTGGATCTGATGTAACCATTTCCGTCTTGCACAATTCCTTAGACTCTCAGTGTGGTTCCTCGCTAAAGAACTCATCAGGAATTCCACGACACTTTCCAGAACTTGGTCTTCATTGCCCCTGAGCTCAGACACAACCAATTCTATGTACCTCTGAAACTGCATTGAAGATAATTTTACTTCACGGCCAGGATGTGGCTTTGGAAATTGGATGTGCAGTTTAGCTGAAAGATACAAGTGAGAAACAGAGAATGGACTAGAAATTCATTAATCTGTGGGAACTCTTTCATTTTCCTCTTACAGCACTAATGTGTGTGCTCTATGGTTAACTGACCACATTAGAGGTATCCTGAGCACTGTGACTGACCTCCTACACTAACTCAGTTTGACTTCTATGCCAGCTATATTTTTGTTTTGATCCACCTCCAGCCAGGTGAACTCCTGGAGTCTACTGTAACTCCTAACTGTTTGTCTTCCATACCCTATCCTGTTTCTCTTTGGCACTGTCCCTTGTGACCACTCATTTCCATTCCAACCTTTATAACCTCAAACACTTTTTATCACTTTATAGTAGACTTAGCAATAGTAAATGATTCATTCACATGTGTTTTTAAAACTAAAACACTACTTGATGAGCTAAGAATGTGGCTCAGTGGTAGTGTACTTGCCTAGCATTTACAAAGCCCTGGGTTCAATCTCCAGGAAAACACACACACACACACACACACACACACACACACACACACACACACACAAGCTTGCATTGCATTATGCAATTGTATGGTTCAAGTTCTTACTTGAATCTGGCCTAGTTTCAAATCATACCTGCCCTCCATATAACCTAAGAATGGTATTCTCATCCTACTATAGTTCCTGACCATGGCTTGCATATATCTGCATCCACACTCTTAAAAAAAAGTATTCTTCTACCAAATATTATATTCTAATTGCAATTTCCCCTCCTTACTCTCCTCCCAGTCCCTCCCTACCAACTTCCTTCTTCCCCAGATTTCCTCCTTTTCCATTTCCTTTTAGAAAAAGACAGGCCTCCCAGGGATATAAAACAAACACAGCATATCCAGGTGCAAGGAAACTAAGCACTTCCCCTCAAATTAAGGCTGGATGAGGCAACCCAGTAGGAGGAAAAGGGTCCCAAAAGCAGCAAAAGAGTCAGAGACAGTCCCCACTTCCACTGTGAGGAGACTCACAGGAAACTTAGTTATACAGCTGTAACATATGTGCAGAGTGCTTAGGTCAGACCCATGCAGGCTCCTTGATGGTCAGCTCAGACTCTGTAAACACCCCCGCCCCCTGAGTCCTGGTTAGATGATTCTGTGGGTTTTCTTGTGGTGTCCTTGACCCCTCTGGTTCCTACAATCCTTTCTCTCCCTTTTGGGCAGGATTCCCCAAGTTCAGCTTAATGTTTGACTGTGGGTCTCTGCATCTGCTCACATCAGTTGCTGGATGGACCCTCCCTGGTGATGATTATGCTAGGCTCCGGTCCACAAGTATAGCAGAGTACCATTAGGAATCATTTCACTGACTTTTTTTTGCCAGTTGTGTTTGGTTTTATGCTAGGTCTCTGGTCTACTCACACTTTTTAAAATTCTATCTTTGCAGTGTTCAGGATTAAAATCAGAATCTCACACATTGTAGTACCCCAGCACTAAAGTATGCCCCAGATCTTTCCTTTCATCCTCCTTTTTAAATTTTTAAAAATTTTATTATTTTACATGTTTGCCTGCATGCATGTCTGTATATCATATGTGTGGCTGTTGCCCTTGGTGGCCTGAAGATAACATCAGTTCCTGCAGACCTGGAGTTCATCTCACAACAGTTGGTTGTGAGCCACCATGTGGGTGCTGGAATTTGAAACTGGGTCCTCTGGAAGGGCAGCCAGTGCTCTTAACCTCCAAGCCCAGCACCTCTTTCATTTTTCTTTTGTACAATGATGAATCTACTACCAAACCTGAACATTACCAGTAACTTACCTTTCTCATCTTCTTCTGCCCTGTTCTAGCCCCTGTCTCCCTGCATCTCTTACCTGAAATTTGACTTTTTTTCCTCACACTGTCACAGTTATAAACATGACTGTGTTGCATATGAATATTCCTAAGCATTACATAGCATAGTTTTACCTGTTTGTAGACACTAAACAAAGATTATCAAACTACATGTAGTTTTCTTGGACTTGCTTTTAAAACATTTTTTCTTATCTTTTATCTTTAAATTTAACTTAATTTTTATTCTTTATGAAAGTTTTGCCTGTATGTATGTCTGCATACCATATACATGCCCTAAGAGACTAGGAGAGGGTGTTAGATCCCCTAAAACTGGAGTTACAGATGGCTGTGAGCTGGCATGTGGGTGCTGGGAATCAAACCTGGGTTCTCTAAGAGCAGCCAGTGCTCTTAACTTCTGAGCTATCTCTCTAGGCCCTTGCTTAAAAAATTAAAAAAGATTATTTTGTTTATTTACATGTATGTGTGTCTTTGGTTGTGTGTGAGTGTCAGTGTGTGAGTGTGTGTGTGTGTGTGTGTGTGTGTGTGTGTGCCCACATAGACAACAAGAGGATGTCCCATCCCTGGAGCTGGAGTCATAGGCAGTTGTGAGCCACATGAAGTGGGAACTGAACTCAGGTTCTCAGCATGAGCAGAAAGGACATTACTACTAAGTCATCTCTCCAGCCCCAGGACTTGCTTTTTCATTCAAAATTATACCATTTCCATCATGTTATTTCTGTAGCTTTGCCTCATTCATCTTAGCCACTGTATTCATTATGCAAGTATAACAGCATTGATTATTTGTTCTCCTGGCAATATGCATTTCAGGTATGTGGTGCATCTATGAAAGTGTTTTGGAATTTATTGTACATTAACAAGTCATAGGGATGTGATGGCTTATAATGAGTGCCAACCTGACAGGGTCAATAGACACCTTGGTAACAAACCTCTGGGCACATATGTGAGGGAGTTTTAGATTGGGATAATTGCGGTGGCAGGGTACATACCTTGGGCTAGATCCCTTGAACTAAATAAAAAAGAGAAAGTGAACTGAGTGTCAGCATTCACTCCTGTTTGCTTCCCGACCGTGGTTGCAATGCCTATGTGATTGACTAGTGCCTCCCTTGCCTGACACCACACTTTCCTCACTGTGATGGCCCATGCCCCAAATTGTGAGTCAAAAGAAACCCACCCTCCCCTAAGCTGCTTTCATCAGGTGTCTCCATCACAGCTGAGAAACGTAACTGATTGATAGGGTACAGGTCCCTTCTTTTGCGAGATTCCTGCCTGGGTTCCATTGCCGGTTTAGCTCCCAAATAACACACAGGACACTATATTAATTGTAAGCTGTTGGCCATTTGTTATTGTTTCTCATTGGCTAGCTCTGACTTAATTATTGACCCATAATCACCAATATATATTTTTATAAGGACTTATCTTTCCGAGAACTCAGACTTGCGTCCCCTCTTCCCGGGAATCACAAGGCAACGGCTTCCTTCACTACGTTTCCCAGAATCTTCCTAGACTCCTAGTCCCACCTATTCTGCTTTATTTACATATACACAGGACTTCCTGTATAATACCCATTTATCTTTGTTTCTTAATATGCTTTAGTCCCCATTCATTTAACTGAAGCTGGCTTTGGCATTGAATTGGCTCTCCTACTCTAAATTCAAGCATATTATTTAAATAAAATTCGGAATTTCTGTATTATATCAAAGAGCCATTGATATAAGACAGAAGAAAACAAAATTAGGGACTGTCATCTGTGGATTTCTTTTTCTGAAAAGTCTAATTTCCTTCATGTTTACCATCTTCCCTATTGTCACCTTTTCCAGTATGCATACATATAAAAGTTAAAATATTTCTTTGTTAACATTAATGTTTGAGTTTTCCAGAGAACAAGGGATTTCCTCACAACAATCTTCAACCACTTCGGAAAGAGAATGGGGCTCCATTTCATAGACTCCACCTGATTCGACTGGATGCATCTGAATTGCCCCATGTCATTGACTCCACCTGACAAGCACCATTCTGAAACTGGCTTGGAACTACATCACTCGACACATCTCCAGACCAAGGAACTGATACAGTGCACCTTCTACAATCTGGCCAGAGCTTCAGGCGAGAGCTTCAATCAACACTAGAACTCCAGTCAGGAACTTCAATCAAGCATCCTGCCAAACAGAGACTGTCTAATCTACTTAAGATTTTATTACACTAACATTTTTCTTCTCACAGGTTCCCATGAGACTGTCATCGTCCCATCTCAGCAGGAAGTAGTTTTGAGAATTCCACGCCCCTTCTCCATACTATTGATAGTGTAGGATAGTTTACACCTGTTAGTGTTAGTTTTCAATTATTTTAAGAATGGGATTGGAAGGTGTTCAGATTTGGGTATTTCTTTCAGATAAGCTTAGGTTTAGATGGGATAGATGTTTGAGACATTTTGTTCATTGACACAAGTTAGTTTTGTTTTAAGTTTAAATATCTTCTTTAGACTAAAAGGGGAATTGTAGGAGGAGACTTTAAGACTGTGCCGTTAGCCATGCGGTGCGCTAGAGGCGCATGCCGATGTGGTAATGGGGTAATGATAGGGCAATGAACCCTGCTGCTAACTACACCCACTTTGGTAGTGACTAGAGATGCATACAGATATGATAATGAAAGGGCGGTGAACTACACCGCTAGCCAGGCCCACTTTTGGGTGTGGCTAGAAGCGTGTATGGAGGTTCCCATAAAAGATCATGAGACAGAGCCGAACTCTCTCTTTTTGGCTTCCAGTTCTGTGGCGAAAGCTACTTGACTTATCTTGATTGCCCGTATTCTCTTGTAAGTAATTTCTACAATAAAGTTACCTATACCCTCAACAAGTGTGCCGTTTATCGTTACAGCAACAGCCTTACTTTTAAAGTGGGGTCTAGCTTTTCTCCCAAAATGTCTTCCATGTGCTTTTTCCTTCCCTTTAATGACAAGAGATCCATTCAGTATCATTTGTTTGACAATTAAGAACACTACATGGAACCTGTAGTCATTTCATCATATGCAAGCTCTTATTTCTGTAGTTAAGCATTCACTGATTTTCTTCCTAGTGTTTGCTGCTGCAGTTTTGCCTCGGGGAACCACTCTACTCTCATTGTAGCTTACAAGTGGGATCCATTGTGGTTTTAGAGGGAGAAGATGTACTCCAGGGTCACACCAATTAGGACATTCTATGCCTC